ACTGTAAATCTGCATCTTTCCAGATGGAAGATCCACCTTTAACCCGGCCACATGTTTTGACGGCAGCCTACGCACAGGGCAAAGAAGAAGGAAGCTTGCTCTCTTTGCCCGCTTGTTTTCCCTTTCCCTGGGAAGTCCACTCCTTCACTGGCCTTACAGCCTACTTCTTTAGGATTCTGGCATACACTGAAGACCAGCTGAGACAGCCAGACTCATGAACTGCACAATTACCAGACTCTTGGACCCTCCATAGGTAGACGGCCACTGTTAGACTAGTTGGACCACAGCCTGTAAGCCATTCTAATAAATCCCTTCTATGTATATATGCATTCATTCTACCAGTTCTAGTCCTCTAATACACTGACTAATACACTGGGTGTGACTGTGCAGAAAATTGCTAGGCCATCCTGCCTCACCCAGGTACACATCGAGAGGGAGAAACATTCAACAGCCAAGTAAATGGATTCCTTTGGTGCTGCAACAACACTGAACCAGCAGTGATTTGCTACAGGGGACATGCTATGGGGATAGAATAGAGACCTCACCAGGGATGATTTGCACCTGCTTCCAGTCAAACCCAGGTGGGCCACACAGAGTGATTTTGTTATGTCATCTGGAAAATATTGGTTTGCTGAGTTATATAGATCCTGAATGACTCACCTCATCCCCATGCTACCAAGCCCAAATCTTCTTGGTGGCTCATATGCTGACAACAGAATACCATCAGTTATTTCCTGGAAAGTGTAGTTTCGTTTTTTTTTTTTTTTTTTTTTTTTTTTTTTTCTCTTAATGAAAGAAAAATGCCTGGTAAATATTGAAATCTGAAACACACGTTTTTACCAGTAATTTTTAGGTAAAAAAAAGTTTCCATGCAAACAGTGGTAAATCCTGTATGGCTCCACTGCACACCTTCTCTGACGGCACTGGCTCAAGGCCCCCATGTATCATGCAAACACGAGAGCCGTCTTCCACAGCTCATCTGACATTAATCTACTCCACTGTTTCATCCAGACCTGGACTTTTATGTTTCTTACAGTGAATGTGCGGATATGAGCACAGCAGTTAGTAGGGCTGATGGCTGGCTTCTTCCTGTCAGATTTTGTACCTAGTGCTGCCCCTGCATCATCAGTGCAAGGCCAACGCAGTGCAAGAGTCAAAGTCTTGGTGTCAGTATGGATTGTCTGACTTCACAGAGTTTCTGAAGGGCCCCGGGAACCAGGAACCTATGAAGCACTGGACAAAGGCTTGGAGCCTTAGAAATCGTATGTAAAAACTGGGCATAGATCATTCTTCTTCAGACTTTGAAAGGCCCCGACCCCAGAAGGTAACTCTGCACATACTGTGGGCAAAGCAGCCCCCTTTATTACTCTTAGAACCTCAGATACACTACAACTTAGTTTTGCCACCTGCATTCTGACTGTTAGAAGATGTCCATGCCTAAAAAAAAAAAACAAAAAACAAAACAAAACAAAAAAAAAACCGATTAACTAGATAATTTAATTTTGAAGTCTGAGATGAAGACACAATGGAGTTTTGTGATGCATGCCAAGTGTCCTTTCCGCGTCCTGCTGCTCCACCCTCACCCCTGGCTTGGAACTCAAAGTTCTTTAGTGTGCAAAGGGGAAGGGTCACACTAGCTGGTCTGTAAGGCTCTGGTCTGTAGTGAACTAACACCTTTGGTATATGAAAACACCTACCATACCTGAAAAGATGTCAGACAAATGCAAACCAGAACCACAGTGAGCTGCCAGGTCCCACTCACAAGGACACTTGACCCAAACAGGCAATAAAGTGCTGGAGATGTGGAGAAACTTACACCCAAGACTGCAGACAGGAGTGTGAACTAGTGTAGCCATTCCAGAAACAGCCTGGCAGTTTTTCAAACTGTGAGCCACAGAGCACTGCACTGCTAGAGACACACCCAAGGGAGACAGGTTTGCACCAGTGCTGCATCATGGCAGCTTTACATACTAAGGATCCAGTCCAAGCTGGCATGGTGGTGCATGTCTGCAATTCCTGAGACAGGCAGATCTCTGTGCTCCAGGCCAGCCTGGTCCACATACAGAGTTCCAGGTCTGTGGCAGAGTATTTGTACACCATGAAGATACGTCTTTGCCAAGGTGCCTTCTGATTGGCTTAATAAAGAGCTGAATGGCCAGTAGCTAGGCAGGAGAGGATAGGTGGAATTTTCGGGGAGAGAGAGGAAGAGGAGCCTAGGCTTGAGGATTTGGCCAGTGGAACCAGAGCACATTGGATGTGTGATACTGAGAAGAGGTAACTGAGCCACCAGAATGTAGATTTAAAAATATGGATTAAGTTATAAGGGCTAGTGGGACAAACATAAACTAATGGCCAAATTTTCATAATTAATAAGTCCCGTGTTGTCGTTTAGGGGCTGGCGATCCAAAGATAGTCCCACAAGAAAGCTTGCTACACAGGTCAGCCAGCACTACATAGTGAGACCTTGTTCCAAAACAAAAGGTCAGAAATAACCCTAATGCCACCGACTGATGAACAAATGGACAGAGGTGGCTCAATGGTTAAGAGCACATTGGCTGCTCTTCCAGAGGACTGAGGTTTGATACCCAGCCAGCAACCACATGGCAGCTAACAATCATCTGTCATTCTAGTCCCAAGGGCTGTGACATCCTCTTCTGACCTTTGAGGATACTATACATACATGGTACACAGACATACATGCAGGTAAAACACCCATATACATAAAATAAAAAAATAAAATCTCTGTGAGTGAATCTATATAAGACAATATTATGATAAAACTATTTGCCTAAAGCAGGGAATTAAAAACAAGCGTTGGCTATGACATGGATTAGATTCAACCACACTCTCTGGAAATGCTTGTCATGAAAGACATGTTGTATGAGCCCATTTCATGCAATGTCCTGGGCAGTTGATCTACAGAGACAGAGGGCAGGTCAAAGGTCGCTCAGTTCAGGCAGTGGTAAGGGAGAAGGACAAGATTTCTTTTGGGGAGGACCGTTAGAATTGATGAGATACACTCTTTGTTAAAAACTCAAATTCCCCAGGTAGCGGGGTGAGCTGTAAGATAAATAACATCTTTACAGCCATTAAGCCACACAGCACTCCAGTCAAACAGGCCATGTTTGTACAGCTACACTGCTGTGGATTCTTTAAAGTAAATGGAAATTAATGTCTCTAAAAACACTAGAAACAAAATCTACACACACTCCACCCTTCTCATGAGAATGGACCCACAGCAGGACCGGCTGGGAAGGAGGCCTTGGCTGGCTGTCTGGATTCTGTATGTTCTCTGTCTCAGAGTATCACTACAGCTACATCCCACCCACACACTCTTCCTTTCTTCACTCAGTTTTTCATCATTGCTGTCTGGTAGTTTGGGTTTGAAATGTTTGAACACCTGTTCCCAGCTTATGACATGTTTTGGGAGGGGTGGAACCTCTGAAGAGGGAGGTGTGGCTGGTAAAAATGAGTCACTGCGAGTGGACCTTCGAGGGACACAGGCTGGCTGGAGCTCTCCTAGCTTCCTGATTCCTCAACACAAGTCAGACCATGGACTGAGTGCCAGCCACCATGACCTTTCCCACGGTCAGGCAGTTTGTCATAGTGATGAGACAGGAACTAACAGTCCATCAGTCCATACAAAAACAGCAACAAATAAAACAAAAATTCAACCTCTCTGTTCCCAGTCTTCTCAGAAAGCACCAGATACACAGGAGGCCAGGGAAAGCACACACAGGTATCTGGCCATCTGAGTACTTCAGGGCTCTCTCTCTCTAGATCCTCTCAGCCACATGGGAAAAAAAGCAGAGACCACACCCTCAGCCTTGTAACTCAGGGTTGCTTTTCTTCAGGACAACACCATCTGAAACAATGCAATACAGTTGGCGTATTTTACTCTTGTCTCCCACCTGGGATGAAAGCTTTGGGAGGGCAGAAATTTGTCCTTTCTCTGTGCCTGGCCCACAGAAGAAATTCAGGAAATGTGTGTCAAATTCTCTCTGGAAGCCACCTGCTTACCTCAAGGGAGGGCACGATGCTCAGGAGAGGGAACAAAGTTAAGACAAAAGCAGGGGCTCTAGCTAGGAAACAGCTGCAACAGGAGAAGCAATGACCAATCCAAGCTAGTGGTCTCCAGAGTGGTGGGCATCCCACGTGCTTCTGGTAGTGCCCACTGCTCCAGAGAAACAAATGAGACACCAAGTCAAGCAGTCCAGAGCATGTTTGGCTCAAAGGTAGGCATTTGACCCAAATAAGGCAGAGTCTTCCTTCTTGGATCAAAGAGTATAAATTAGGCAACACTGTTTGCCAAGACTTCTTAAAAATAGAAATCTTCCATACCGTAACTGACTTATTAACAAACTTAATAGGTATCAAGAAACAGATTTGATTTTAAAAGAAAGTTGAGTTCAATATGTTCATCTTAAGGGAATGGAGGAAATGGATCTTAAGTATCTGTTGTAAGAGCACATCTAATAATCACAGATGAAAATGAAGCGATACCCATGATGTTCCAAGAGGACTATCAGATAACACAAAGAATAAAACCCCAAAAGCTGTAGGTGGTACTCAGTACTGTTCCTTAAGATTACAGACTTGAGGTTGGCTTCCACAGCACCTGAGAGTTGGAATTGAGGAAAGACCAAGAGCTTTGCACCCCGCTGAGGGCATCTGCTTTCTGCCGAGTGCTGGGATTTCACTGCACATAGATGGGCGAGATGTTTGCTTCTAAACAACACTAACGCTACAACAACACTAACGCTACACGTGCTTTTCAAAACAACACAACAAAAAATCAAGCCAAAGAACTTAGAGACAATGTCATAGTAAACACAAACCAAGTTGGAACATGTCTATCCCACAGGGGAGTGGTGACGGCTGCAGCTCCTCTCCCGTTAGGATGCATTGCAGTCATTCTTCCTGGGGCAGGTCCAAATCTTTGGGGAGAGGGGAGGGTTCATTCCTGGGTGGCTCCGGTTGGGAGTGTGCTGTGAACTTACCATGTGGACGACCTCTGGGTAAATGGGCTCTGTGATCACATTGCGGTTGTGGGTGATATATTCTACCATCTCACTTAGAGCTGCTCGCTTCACCTCCTTCCACTTCAGGTCACTCAGTGGGTCAGAAACAAAGTCAAAGAGGACACAACACTGACGAAGCTTCTGGATGAAAAGCTTCTCTTGATCCGCAGGAGGAACATCTGAAAGGCAAGAGCGAGGGCTGTCAATCACAGAGCTGCCTCACCCACAGGGCCCAGGACACACTGCTCAGCCGCCTGTGGATGCCTTGTGACAGCAGGCACCTTCCGATGACGACTTTTACTTATCTGAGTCCTTAATGGCTAACACCAGAGAGAACGGGCTCTCGGGCACTGCTATATGAATTCCATAACCCATTTCAACCCATGCAGAGATAAAAAGCACTGAAGCTGGGTGAGGAGCTGGGACACACTGCTGAAGGACACCTGTGAGGTCCTGAGAGCCACCGCATCACATCACCACATACAGAGCCGGCTGACATCTGAACACTCAAAGCTTCCATCAAGAGTTTCCTTTCTGAACTATCTGTCTTCTTAGTAGCCTTTGATCCATATCAACTCTACACCTTTGCTCACATTCCAACTTGCCAGAATGCCTTAAGTAAACTTGCACTTGTCAGAGCTTGTCTATATAGATTCCGTCGCGGCTTGTTCATTTTCCCAGCACTATGGAGAACTAAGTTCAGCAGGGCAGTGGAGGCGACACCTTTGAACCCAGCACTCAGGAGGCAGAGGCAGGCGGACTTCTGTGATTTCGAAGCCAGCCTGGTCTCCAGAGTGAGTGCCAGGACAGCCTGGGCTACAAAGAGAAGCCCTGTAGAGCGCACAGTTTACCCCACGAGTTACTTGGTGCCCTAATCCAAGCCCTACTCACCGCCTGGCTTCTACCCAGTGGTCAGTAAGGTCCCTCAAGACTTCTTTTCTGCACAGTCCTTTAAGACCTGCAAGAAGGCAGCCATGGTGGTGCACACCCTTAGTCCTGGCAGAGGCAGGTGGATCTCTGTGAGCTCTATAGGTTAGCTTGGTCTACCTACATAATGAATTCTGGGCAACTAGGGCTAGCTACATAGTGGGCTATGTCTTAAAATATAAATTAGCTAATTAAAATAAGGGCTAGACATTTGGCTCAGTGGTAATAAGAACATTTGCTGCTCTTGTATAAGACCAAGGTTTGATTCCCAGCACAAACATGGCCGCTTGTAATCATCTGCATCCAGTTCCAGAAGATCTGAAGGGCACAGGGCACACACATAAAATAATCAATGACATTTCATTTGGCTATTATTTTTTAAAAAACAATAGCAATGAAATAGGGTTGCAAAGTTAAAAATATTGCACTGTCAAATATTTCCACATTTTAAAATGTGTCTTCTCGGTCAGTGTATTTTTAAATCCCCCTTTCTTCTGTGTTAATCGGACAGCGGGTGGAGATGCTGAGGACAGTGGGTGGAGATGCTGAGGACCACACTTCACCCTGGCTAGTTACCTCAAACACCTCTCACATGCACCGGTAATTTCAGAATGCCTTGTTTTTATCAGTTTAATAAATGTGAGGCAATTCCCAGTTACTGCAAGCTAAGCCCTCAATGATGCTGAGGCGTGAACCATACAGACACACTCATACAGTGTCTGTAGGGAAGGAACAGAAGAAAGACACCAGCTCTGGGCCTCAGAAACAAGGGAGAGAGTGGGGTTAAAAGATCAGTCTTTTGCTCCTCTGCCACCATGGTGCCTGTGAGAAGCTGGTGGCGCAGGGGGCAAACAAACAAAGAAAGAAAACCAGGTTTTGCAGTTCACCCTTGACTGCATCCACCTTGTAGAAGATGGAATCTGCACGTAGTGCAGCTCACCGCTCTCTTTGCTGCTGGCAACCACACACAACCAGTCTTGGAGATTGTTCTTCAATTTTGTTGTTGTTTTGCTTTTTTTTTTTTTTTTTTTGGATGCTGACAATTTTGAGCAGTTCCTCCAGGAGAGAATTAAGGTGAATGGGAAAGCTGGGAACCTGGGCAGAGGGGTTGTAATTATTGAGCAGACAAGAGCAAGAACAAGATCACTGTCATTTCCAAGGTGCCTTTCTCCAAAAGGTATTCGAAATACATCATCAAAAAATATTTGAAGCCGGTTGGTAATGGCACACTCCTTTAATTCTAGTACTCGGGATGGAGAGGCAGGCAGATCTCTCTAAGTTCAAGGACAGCCTGGTCTACAAAGCAAATTCCAGGACAGCCAGGGCTGTTACACATAGAAACCCTGTCTCAAAAAACAAAACAACAACAACAAAAACAAAATTTGAAAACAATCTCCAAGACTGGCTACGCATTGTCACCAACAGCAAAGAGAGCTATGAGCTGTGTTACTTCCAGATTAATCAGGACAAACAGGAAGAGGACAAGGATTAGGACACATGGTCTGGAATGTTTTATATTAATGCATACACAAAGCCTGCAGTGTTGTTCTTCATTACCCACAGTGGTCTCCAGGCCCCCAGCTCACACTTGCCTATCATCAAGACAGCTGGAGCAGATGCCTTCACTGTGCTTGTGAGTTGGAATGAATGCATCACAGAAGGAGGACTACTTCACATTTGAGGTCAGCCTGGGCTACACAATGAGTTTCGGGCTAAGCTGGGCCACAAAATGAGACTGTCTCAAGAAACAAACCAACCAACTAACCAAAGCCCATCTACTGCAAGCCTAGTGTTAACCAAACATGGAAGCACAATAGGTACACACCAGTTATAAATGAACCGGTGAAGGCCAGCAAGGAGAGGCAGTATCCTGATACAGCAAGACATCAGTGTGCCAGGGGAGAGAGCCATCACCAGGGGCTGCTCGAGACACATGAGTGGGACAAAAGCAGCAAACAGGGATGGCTTCTAGAAACTGGGATACACTCCCTCCAACACAAACGTAGATGCCTGTGCTCCAGGCTGTCTTGGTGGTAAGAAGGAGTGAGCTGAGGGCCTGGAGGCCACTGTGGGAAAGTGAAGAACACTGCAGGCTTTTGTGAGTCCTGAACAGTCACTAATACAATGGCCAACAGCACAGATGAACTTGCAGTGTGTGCCTCAATTATAGAAAGGACTGACAACTCTAGGAACAGATTTTAACTTAAGTCATGGAATGTTTGAAGTGATAGGATGAGCAACTCAACTGACTCACTGTGCCAAGAGGCATCAGGTGAACTCTGATTTGGAAAGAAAAAAAAAAAAGCCAAGGGAGACAATTAAATTAGTAAAGTGTGTGTGTGTGTGTGTGTGTGTGTGTGTGTGTGCGCGCGCGCGCGCGCACACACACACACACACACACACACACACACACGACACACGACACAAAACAAACAACAAAACCAGCAAGTTTCAGTTAAAAGGAATCTCTGGTCAGGTGTGGTCTCACCATGTAAGTCTGGCTGTCCTGGAACTCTCCATGGAGACCAGGCTGCCCTTTAACTCAGAGAACCTCCTGCCTCTGCCTCCAGAGTGCTGAGATCAGAGGGGTGGCTACTTTGTAGGTTTTAAAAAAAAGATTTGCTTATTTTTTTTATGTTGTATAGGTATTCTTCTTGCATGCATGTCTGCTCACGACTGTGTACAGTACCCTCAGAGGCCAGAAGAGGGTGTTAGATTCTCTGGAACTGGAGTTACAGGTGGTTGTGGGTCACTGAAAGGGTACTAGGAGTTGAATCCAGGTCCTATGTAAGAGCATCAAGTGCTCTTAACCACTGAGCCATCTCTTTAGCCCTTTATTTTGTTTCTTTGTTTGTTTTGTTTTTCGAGACAGGGTTTCTCTGCGTAGCAGAACAGGCTGGTCTTGAACTCACAGAGATCCACCTGTCTCTGCCTCCCAAGTGCTGGGATTGAAGGCGTATGCCTGGCTTCCATGGACCATCTTAATGACCATTTCCACCAAATGAAATAGCATACACCTGCCTGCAATCTCAGCATTCAGGAAGCAGAGGCAGAAGGACAGAGAGTCTGAGGCCAGGCTGTTTATATATGGGGAATTAGTTCTAGGCCCTTGTGTTTGTACAGATAGGTTTCTCTTTTGCCAGCCCTGCCCCACACTGTCCCATTGCTATAGTTAAGAATCCTCCACCTGTTTTCCTTCATGGCTGGACCATTCACTAACTATTTGCCCTGTACAGGTTTGGGAGTGTATAAGTTTTCAATATTGAGTATCCCAGTACAGGAAAACAAGTTATTCCTCTAATCACTCAAATTCTCCTTAAATTTTTCATTAGAATGTGTTGAATATTATTTTATTTGTCTTTTTTGGGATTTGCTATGCTCTGATGCTACTGAAGATGATATGCCCCCCCCCCCCAAGTTAATTTTAGAATACTGTTGCAGTACAGAAAAAAGGCCATCTGTAACTGGCTACCCTGATGAGAGCTGTTTTGGTAAACACTCCTTTCGATGTGCAAGCCCAGGCACAGTGTTCCTTTTTCCTGTGTATCTGTGCTATCCAGGACCTCCAAGTAGGACTGAAAGGAAGTAGGAGAGGTCCTTTATCTCCTCCCTAGCTTGGAGGTCATCATGGAATCCACTGTTGTTCTAGGAGATGAGTGAGAAACCCACCTGTGCATTCAAAGTTACATCAATCTACTTCCTTACGGCTGTGTCCCTGGGCCTGGGTCATCAGAACCTACATGCATGGGGTGCAAAAAAGGAGTGGGGGCCAGGGCAAAGGGGAGGAGTGGGGGCCAGGGCATCCCCGAGAATTGCGGTGGGAGGAGCTGCAGCTCCAGAAGCAGGACATCTGTGAAGCTTCATTAGGCAGCTGAACTGTGTGTGGCCACTGGGGGCAGAGAGATGGACCCTGGAGTCATAGCAGCACTGGGCTGCAGGACAGAGAGTACGTCAGCCTTTCATCACAGGACCCTACGTCGGCTGCGACCCAGGGCCCAGGAAAAAGAGACAGAAAGGAAGAAGTTAGCTCACATTATACTCAAAACTCAAAAACTGGAGCATCATAGACAGAGATCTAAAAGGCAAGAGTCTAATGCCTTTATAAAAATGATATTATGCTGTTTTTTTTTTTTTTTTTTTTGTCAACTTGACATAGCTTGGGTCATCTAAGAAGAGGGAACCTCAACTGAGACAATGCTTCCATTTGGTTGGCCTGCAGGCAAATCTGTGGGGCATTTTCTTGGTTAATGGC